AGAATGACGATTTCACGAAAGGTTTTGCGAAAGCGTTCTCACCTTTTTGGTGTGCTCGATATCTTTGTGCATGGCATTCAACTCCTTTTCAGTTTGCTCGGCGCTGTAAACGGTTATGGCCAAATGCAAATCTGTGCTTGAAGATTCATATTCTTTAATCAAACTGTCCAACTTTTTCTTAATGGTATTAGACTTGATGTATTGCATGCAACTATTTAACTCGGAGATTTCTTTTATAAAATCTTTGATCCTGTTCATGATGTTAATGAATTTAATAAACGACCGATAGAAACTTTTGCTACGAAAATCCTTCTCGTTATCTTCTCTGTGACGGTAAAGTTTTCGAAGGGCGAACACTCCATTCTCGATACGATCGTATAACAACACACATGTAGCTTTATTGTACTTTGCATTTTCGTATGCGTTAGTAGCTTCATCCAACAATCTTGTCAGTCCCTCGACCCATGGAAAGAAAAGCTTAATCGTATCGCTCGCAACATGAATAATTGTTTGTGCGGTGTCAAATTCATCTTCGACGCTAAAATTCGCGACCGTGGTATCATCATCCGTGACTTGACATGAAACATCGGCAACGCTGAACGTAAACTCGGGAAATTTAGATTTTTCTTTCATGGTTGAAATTGAAACGGTATGTGAAATACGCAAAGAAGACGACGTACAGTAGGTTCATTACATAGTAAAATGGAATTTCGTGTAACTATTACACGGGAATACATTCTAGCTTTGATAAATTCCCTCGAAACGTATTAGACACACGTTTGAACCCGAAAATGGACAAAATGATTGTACGATGAAGACGCTTGCGTCAACCAACGTTGAGAGCAAACCTTAACAAACATCCGTTGAAAATATACAAAAGAATTTAGGTTTATTGTAGTACGCAATAGGTGTAGGACCAACGGTATATGCGTAGCATTTGGAACGGTTGAATATCTTAACCTGTTGATTACAGGTTGCGCAATTAACGAACATGCGATTTGGAAATCAGAGTCATCGTTATACGTAACCTCGGACCGAAAGTCAAAAAACTCCGGCCGGAACTTTCATCGGCAAATGTAAACGTAAATCAGACATTTTTATGCACACAGAATGTTTTACAGGAAATTATAAATAAATACCGAATAATTAGAGTTGATGTGCCTAAATGCAAGAATGGAAAACGAAAATTCAGATGAAATAAATCTTGACGGACAGTACGAACATGGCGTAGGCGGAATGCTTGCTGTCTCAAAGAAAGGATATGAATTCGCAAATGCATTCTCCTCGTTTGTTCCGTGGTTCGAATCCTCGATGCGACTGATC